ATAAGAAAATATTTTTTTGAATATTACAATGATACATCAAATGTTTTCTTTTTTTTTAAAAAAAAAAAAAATCAAATCCCTGAGTCACGAGTCGAAAATGTTTAGTGATAATTATTTGTTGTGATGAAGATTTTGACGATAGGAAAACCACGAATGTTGTTTATAATGAAGTATTTATTAATATTTAGGTTCACTTTTTTAAATTATTATTTTTTTCTAATTTACTAAGTTATGGGTTTTATTTTATTTTATATTTTTATATACTTTCTCTTCTATAATATCACTTTTCGTGCAAATGCACGGGGTAAAACTAGTTTAATTAATAGAGTGTAAATAATTAAGAGTATGCGACATACCGACAAAGTTAATTGAGCGAGTGTGAATTATTTATGTGATAGACTATACGAAAGGTAAGCTAAGATAATAAAAAAAGTGCATTCTCGTGTAATCTCATTATCAACCGACAAAAGTGAAAGTTCTATGCAGCATATTCAAGCACACCAAAGAAGAAATAAAGGTAAAGCACACCATTGAAGAAAAAGGCTAGCCACCAACCCTTCACCATCCTTCCTCATTCACACACATTTGTCTACAATCGTGTCCTTGCTCATGCCTATAAATAGGCTTGTCATTTCATTCATTTCAATCATCGTTGAGAGTGATCAATCAACCTACAGAGTGTTGAAACACAACCAAGAAAGAGTTGTGGAGTGTTTGAGAGTTTTTTTTTTTTTGTTTAGAGTTTGTAAATCTCTTGTGTTTTTATTCTTGTGAGTAATAGAAACGTGTTTTTCTCTCAAATTATGCTTTTGATCTTGGGATGATACCACAACAAAAAGGAGTTAATTGAAAAAGTTCGAAATAGTTATGCGATAAACTATGTGACAAAAATGCGAAGTCGAGCAAGTGAGATCTCATTTTGCAATAAACTATGTGACAAACAAGCAAATAAATCGAGCAAGTGTGATAAACTATGCGACATACATAAGAAGTTAATTAAGCAAGTGTGAAATAGTTATGCGATAGACATGTGAATATAATCTAGTGCGATCTCATTAATATGCAAAAAAATATGCGAAGTTAATTGAAGAAGTGCGTAAAAATTATACGATAAATTATGCAACATATAGGCGACAAATATGCATAGAATTGTGTGAACATTTCAGTCAATAAGGGTCTGTCACATTTTAGGTGTAGATCAGCTTCTTGCGCCTATTTTTACATTTTTTTTAAGTTTCTCCTCAATTTTCGTATAAGTCCTAGAAAAGTCGCCCTATCGGGTACGCTGCACCACAACCACGTAAAGGAGGGTTTCAACATCTTGAATTCTCAAAGTTTCTAAGAATGGAAATCACCAAAGCAATGAGGCAAAGGATCGTAGGTCGGGCTGAGATCAACATTTGGAGGAACCTGATGAAAAACTATAGGGACGACGACTTTTATGAATTGGTCGAGCATACTCTAATAAAAGACAACAACCATGAAATTAGTACATGAACATGAGATCGAAATACGGAGGTAGACGATCTTAACCATAAAAAATACAAAATTTATTCACCTTTTTTTTCTATACATAGTGATAGAGATGTGGATGAAATTTTTGAACTTCATTCATGTTATATTATACAGATATGTAGCCTTTCGAGTTTCATTATAATAATTTATGTAGTCTTAGTAGTATTCATGTAGAAACAGTTGTTCGAATGAAGAGTTAGCCATGAAATTGTGAGTCCTTATATGACTGTGTTCGCGACAGAAATGCAATATATTTACTATTGTTATTAAAAGAATGCTGATTGGTTAGTCTCAGAAAATGCAATTCTTAATACGAATGTTTTTAAAATGGTAAATCCAAATTAGTATATTCAAATTATGCGATTAAACTGTGAAGGATATACGCTACGACAATATGCCAAGTGATACGAACAGCTGTTCTACGATTATTACTCGACAAGTTTTGCATATCTGTCGCGATTATTATTTAATACAAAAAAATTCGAAGCGTTTCAGATACGCCACGACAGACAGCCAAAGAGATACGATGAATCACATAATCATTATACTTTTTTGTTATTAAAAATATATCGGAACTGTGATCCACAAAATTATTTGTTTTATTTCTTAATTAAAATATTTGATTATCAGGTGGAACTTTATATGCATAGTTAATCGAAGATTAATTGATTTAACTTTTATTCTTTAAATTCGTATTTTGCGATACCTAGACAACTGTTGTGACGGATATTTGTCGCATAGACATTATTTAATACAAAAAATAAAGTGGAAGTGTTTCATTATGCGACCAAAATGCGAAGGTAATTATAATGTAAATATAAATTATGCGATAAATATAAGGCAAATAGGCAGTGAATATGCGAATGAACCGGTGACATTTATGCGAATAAAAAACCCTTAACGGTATTTATACTGATACATAAAGTTTCAAGTTGCCTCATAATCCTTACTTCATCGTCATGAAGACACGAGTGACCGAAGACGTGATTGCCTCAGAAAATGGGAGTCATTATGTGACTTTTTTGCGTCACAATAAATCGCAGAGCAATAATATTTTTCAAATGATAAATTTAAATTATGTGATTAAATTGCGTAAAAGGTACATCCGAATTATGATCTTCAAAAACAATTATTTTTTTATTAAAATATGCAATGAGTAGGCAAAGCATCAACACATAATTAATCGCATATTAATTAGTTTGAAATTATTTTGGTAAACTCTTACTTTGCTATTGTTACTCGACAGTTGTTCTGACGCAAGTTATTATTTAATAAAAATATAGTTGGCTCGTTTCACTTTCAGACACCAACGATTTCTTATTACGTTTACTTTTACATTGTTGCACAGACATCCCCAAAGTTCAAATTCAAAAAGGAAAGAAGGGCAGAAACTTAACTTTCAATCTTGCGACATTACTTTACATAGTTATAACTATATAAACTATTAAAAGAGATGAACAGACATGCGAGATTTTGAATTTGTTGAAGACTTCAGCATGGAAGTGTCGGAAGGAGAATCTTTTTTTTTTTCAAAGAAAATATATGTATATATATATATGAAATTACTGAAATGCCTTAAAAATTAGTTATTTTAGTCAAAATCATTTTTATATCTAGTTTTTGACAAATCTATATTGCTGTGGTGGTTTAAAAAAAAAAAAGTGTATATGATGATGCACAAAAATCGTTATAATTCGGTTAATAAGAAGTTTTTCTTTACCTCCTCCTACTACTACTACTACTACTACTAATAATAATAATAATAATAATAATAATAATAACAATAATAATACGAAACATAAGTCTTCGTTGTGGAGCAACGATTCAGTTGGGACTTGGGAGGTTTGATAGTAAGACGTTACCCAAAGCTCGCATTCATCTGTTTTAGTTCCATGGCTGCCAATTTCTGGACTTCCTCTCACTAGTAAGTTTCAATTTTGGGGTCAATCTCTCTGTCTGTTACTCTATTTTTTCCCCCTTTGTTTCCTTTTCCCTCTTTATTTCTTTGTGATTTACTGTGGAGTGTAGACATATTTGAATCAATTGGGCCAATCTTCTGTTTTTTTTTTTCTTTGATCGTGAAAATTCAGCAAACAGCTTCTGGATCCAGATGACGTGGATGTTGTTCATCCATTGGATAGAGAAAGAGGCATCACTCTTGAAGATTTCAAGCTCATCAAGTTCCAGATGTCTAATTGTAATGTTTACAGCGAGAGTGTCAATCTCCAACCGAACGATTAATTGCCCGATTTTTCTAGAGCTTGAATTAATTGTCCCCGATTTCATAGTATCGAAGTTCTCTTATACATGAAATTGTTTTGCTTCAAAACGTGCTGCTTCTCAATGGTGGTTCAAAAAAAAAAAAAAAATAGTGAAAGTTCTGTCAAAAAGCTTTCTTTTTCCCTTTTTGTTTTCTTGGCTACGATGCGAAGTAAATTTGTTGTTCACTATCGTGATTGCTAGTTTTATTACGAACTCTGTTCGTGTTTTCTCCTCATTTGACATGTTGTTTATCGATCGGATTGAAGTTCTCCATGTTTACTTTTTTTGTTCTTTTGTCCATTTGGAGGTCAGATATAGCAAGATTGGCTCAGAATGTGAAAGTGCGACAAAGGTATTGTTGTTATTGATGTTGCATTTGCGGATTACCTACAGATGATACTCTATGATATCACGAGATTCAAAATACAGAGTTAGGTGCTTGATGTGTGATAAACAGAAAATCGAGACAGAAGCAGAAATTCAAACTGGGTTTTGGAGTTTTTTTTAGCCGAGATTGGCCTTAACGCCATTATTAATACAATATCATTATGTACCAAGTTGTTTCAAAAGATTTGGTGAAGTGCTCATACAGTATGTATAGAAGTAAAGGAGCGATAACTTTTGAATAAAGTCTTATTAACTTTGCAGTTCCCAACAGTAGCGATTACTTAACCATTGATTAACTTCTTAGGGTCGTTGCAACTGCCATTACATATATGAGACGCGTTTATGCCAGGTATGATTTATCTTTGCTTCATATTCGAAACCTTGAGTTTTCCAGTTTTGATAATATTGCTAGGGAGATAGAATAGACTTATGTGCAGTTATGCTGCTTTGGGATGCTTGAAATTGACATGAGAAATTGATTTTTTTTTTTTTTTTTTTTTTTTCTTCTGATTAAATAATTTTCACAATCCCATTTCTATAATTTTAATTTTTCCTTCCTCGTGGCAAGGTTCCCACGGTCAATAGGTCCTTTTGTCATACTCTGATTAGAGAGTTCAGAAAACCGTGTTTTTGTCATTCAAATGATGTTCCTAGGTTTTAATCATTTTGTACTTATTGATACGTAGTTCGTCTTCCATCCAAAACTTTTTTCATTTATATTTTTCATTTATTAATTTATTCAAGGAGAAGTATGACTGAATATGATCCTCGTCTCGTTGCTCCGACATGCTTGTACTTGGCTTCAAAAGCTGAAGAAAGCACGGTCCAGGCCAGACTTCTTGTATTTTATATCAAGAAATTGTGTGAGTATTAAATCACTATTACTTTATTATAATAGAAGCTCAAATGTCTCCTTTTTTATCTATTATTTTCTTCTACGTATGATATGTTGCAATGGCTACCCCTTTGCTTATTCAGATTCAGATGAGAAGTATAGATATGAAATAAAAGAGATACTAGAGATGGAAATGAAAATTTTGGAAGCCCTCGACTATTATTTGGTTGTATTCCATCCTTATCGGGCACTGACTCAGTAAGTGTATAACTGAATATTCATACAAAACTCACGAGCTTCCGTTTTATGCTGCCTAAATTGATTTGTGCTTGAGTGGCCCATTTTCTTTTCTTTCTAACAAATTGTAAACGTATTTGTTTAAATTTCTAGCATAACAATTCATATTTTACTAAATAAATATTATTTAGTAACTTTTTCATTTTTAAATTAGAAAAATTCATATTTCAACAAAAGCAATCGTTTATCGCCCAATGTGGGATCAGCAAAATGGATTAAATGAAAGTCAGTTACTTCCCATTTTTTCATTGGAGTCGGCAAAGTGTTCCCGAAGACTACGATTGGGTCCTACATCATAAAGAAATTTATGTCAAACTTCGTCCAAAGTCTGCCTATTAACCTTGTCTGACCTGAATCTTTTAGTATTCCTTCAGAATTTAGAGATCTCTTTAGAAAACTAAAATATCTTGTATATTTTATCCTTCATGCAACTCTGCAATTTTTTAGGTTGCTTCAGGATGCTGGCATGAGTGATGCAGCACAAACGACGTGGTAAAAATTTTTAATTTTCTTGTTTGTTGTTCATTGTTTAAGAAATAGAATATAATTACTTTTCACTCGTATGAATCTGAATAAGCATAGATATCTAGGTTTTAGTGTATGATACCTCTCATGGATATCAATAAGCACGATCATCTATTCTTTTTGTCTCTTCTCATGCACCGTAGGTTTGAAAGCTGCCCAAGCGCCGATTTTTTTCCTTAAGGAAATTTTGGATTTTCCAACACAAATTTTTCGTAAAAGATAAATTTGACATGAAAATGGTGATTCTTGATCTTCACAGTGAAATCGAGCCCAAATCTTTCAAATTTGGTTATGGAGAAGTGGAAACTAAAAGACTTACTTTCACATATTTTTCTGTTGCATTCAATCTAGTGGACATTGCATTATGATGGAAGCTTTATTTCGAATGTTATGCTGTAGGGGACTTGTTAACGACACATACAAAATGGATTTGATTCTTATACATCCTCCGCACTTGATTGCATTAGCATGCATATATATAGCAAGTGTCCAAAAGGATAAAGAAAACACAGCCTGGTTTGAAGAGCTTCGGGTTGATATGAATGTGGTGAGTTCTTTTAAACCAAATCTTTCAGCTCGGAAAATTTATCGCAGAGTCTGATGTTTTACTGTTAGCAAATTCCTTCGTAATATTAATTATGATGGCATCATTTGTATAAGTAGAATCTTTGCATTAACACACCTTTCACACAACGTAAAAACAGATACTAAGACCTATTATATTAATCTTTTAGCCAAGGGGGAAATGAAATAATTTTGCGATTAGATGTGTTTTAGTTAGTCTGTTTTCTATTTTTCTACTTCATTTGTACTATTATTGTCTTCCTTTTCATCTCTTGACTCACCCCATTTCATGTTTGGTTAAGCATTTCTTTTACATAGACTTTTTTTTTTTTTTTTAACACATAGACTTGTTCAAGTACAGATTAAGAAATTATAGTTAAAATTTTTAGAGAATAAGAATGAATGGTTTACTTTTGATCTTAAAATATTTTTTAAAGGTAACATCCATCACCTGTAATATTTGGTTAAAAAGGTGGATATAATTATTGTTTTATTTTATGTATGCAATATGAATGTCAAATCAAAATTATTCAATTAATAACATGAAAAACTGATAGTAAATATAAGAGTTAGTAACTTTTAAAAAATAATTTACAATTTATGTTAGTAAAGTGTTCCATAATCTTAAAAGTCCTATAACACATATGGATAAGAGTTCAGGCCTGCATGGATGACTCTAAAGTACCACAAATTGACACATAAGATTACAAAACACCAGAAATTGAAACATAGGATTACAAAGTACCCGAAATTGTCACATTAAGTTACAAAGCACTATAAGTTGATACATAGTCTCGACCAAACTCTACATTTATATATAGGAACATTGCCTGGTTTTGATAAATGAAAAGACTCAGTTATCTTTCAAAAATACAAGTATATTCTTGACTTCTGTTTGTCTTCTACAAATTGAGAGAGAAAATGTATATGTTCGGTAGAAGAGAATTTCAAGTGGTTAATTGTAATTTTTAAACATAACTCAAGTTGATGTATCCTTTTCCTTTTAGATGAAATTTTATCATTCTCGAATATGTGCATGTTTTTGGACCTTCAGCATAAGTGAGATGCATAACACATAAGTTAACTTTTCACAATTTTGGGTCAGGTAAAAAACATTGC